CTACAAAATGGAAATAAATTAGGGAAGAGGTAGTTTCTGTAATACTTCAACTTGAATCACATTACTGAGAAGTTAGTTATTACTCCTTTGATGTAATTCTTCTTTGGAATCCCCTAATTAGTCATGATGAAGTAGCTTTACCTTTTAGCCAGGCTCCAAATTCCTTCATGTCTCCAGTGATGTACCCAAGGGCTCTGCAGACTCTCTTCCCAGCTTTGCTCAGTGGATTCTGCTTTATTGGCTTTCTTTCCCCCTTGGTTTCTGTCTTGACATCAACACTATTTTCCATGTTGATGTTCTGAGCCTTTGGTAAAATTCGAGAGGAAAGAAAAACAATGATACTTCGTTACAATGCATCTTACTGATCCCTGTTTATTCTCTCTACCACATATTATTGCTCACCACGTGTTATTTTGGAGCCAGAAAGAGGAAAATCCTTACCCTGAACACCTGATTCTCGTGTCTCCATGAGTACATTCTCTCTTCCTGTGCTCTTGGGACCCTGCCCTGTCCTTCCAGACTTTCATGCAGTCATAGATTGACCACCAGAAGGAACCACTGAGCCTTGTGTCGTAGCAGTATTTCACTTGATTTTAACACTCTGCTCAGCTATACCATGTTTTCTAGAAATCAAGCAGCTCATGATTTAAAGGGTGACTTCAAGAAGAGCAAGTCAAGAGACACTGGTTTCACAGAAGTTAAAGCTTATCTCAAGGTTCAAACTGGTAGAAGTTGAACACAAAAGTTAGTAGAAGTTGAACCACAATCTAGGAAGCTGCTTAAATGATTAGGTTTCCTCTGCTGCTTTAGGCCTAAATAAGGTGTTTGGAGCATCCATGCAGGGCTGGCAGAGATGGAATCTCCTATGGAAGACATTCCCTTTAGATTAGGAACTGCTGGATACCCTTTGGCACCCCATACAGCTGTAGACAGCTTTATTCATGTACAGAGATCAGAGACTTACACCTAACTGTAAACACTGGAGTTCAAAAATAAGGTCCTATAGCCAGTGCATTACTTGTTTGAAGGTCTATTCTCAATATGAAGTCAGCAAATCTAAACGAGCCAAACTTTTCCCTGGGGTGTATTCAGCTTCCCGAAGAGTAAGACTAATTCTTGGTAATTGTCAAGACAAAGAAGAGGCAAGACAAATATGTCATTGAGCGAAAACAGAACCAGAGCTGCTTCAGGTCTCACTGGTGAGTAACAGCTTGTGTAAGAAGTAAAGAATTTAGATTGTGAGTTAGTAGTCTAAATAAGATGATATAAGCATGTAAGTATTTGAGTTAGTCCTAGACTTACTTGCAACTTTAGTAAAAACCTTCTTGGCAGCTGGGGAAGAGAACTCATATTTCAGAAATACGAGTGCTTTGTACTTAAGCTAAAGCAGCCTTACTCCTGGGTGTCACACTTGCAGACCCAGACGTGTGGTTAAGTGGCTCTGAGTCTTTGTGGGGGAACGGCTGGTTGATGTACATTCTGGCCAGTTTCCTACTGTATGTTATTGGAAGGCTGATGATGACATTTCAGGAAGTAGTAAATATTTTCACGAATAAGAAATAGACATTTTCTGTCTTCTGGAAAGGCCCTGCTAATGAAAGCGTAAGTTCCAAACGAAGCAGGGTTTGCAGATGACACCAAGTTGTGTGGTGTTGTGGACATGCTGGAGGGAAGGGATGCCATCCAGAGGGACCTTGACAGGCTGGAGATGTGGGCCAGTGAGAACCTCATGAAGTTCAACAAGGCCAAGTGCAAGGTCCTGCACATGTGTCGGGGCAATCCCAAGCACAAGTACAGCCTGGGCGGAGAATGGATTGAGAGCAGCCCTGAGGAAAAGGACTTGGGAGTGCTGGTGGATGAGAAGCTCAACATGAGCCGGCAACGTGCGCTGGCAGCCCAGAAAGCCAACCGTGTCCTGGGCTGCATCCAAAGCAGTGTGGTCCGCAGGTTGAGGGTGAGGATTCTGCCCCTCTACTGAGCTCTCGTGAGACCCCACCTGCAGTGCTGAATTCAGCTCTGGGATCCCCAACACAAGAAGGACATGGAGCTGCTGGAGCGGGTCCAGAGAAGGGCTACGAAGATGATCCGAGGGCTGGAGCACCTCTGCTGTGAAGACAGGCTGAGAAAGTTGGGGCTGTTCAGCCTGGAGAAGAGAAGGCTCCGGGGTGATCTTATAGCAGCCTTCCAGTACCTAAAGGGGGCTACAGGAAAGCTGGAGAGGGACTTTTTACAAGGGCGTGTAGTGACAGGACAAGGGGCAATGGCTTTAAACTGAAAGAAGGGAGATTTAGGTTAGATATAAGGCAGAATTTTTTTACATTGAGGGTGGTGAGGCACTGGAACAGGTTGCCCAGAGAAGCTGTGGCTGCCCCATCCCTGGAAGTGTTCAAGGCCAGGTTGGATGAGGCTTTGGGCAACCTGGTGTAGTGGAGGGTTTCCCTGCCCATGGCAGGGGAGTTGGAACTAGATAATCTTTGAGGTCCCTTCCAACTCAAACCGTTCCATGATTCTATGATTTTATGAAGACAAGACCGTTATGTAGAAGAGTGTTGAATGAGACTTTATGTAGGACGCAAAGGCAATGGGCTTAACTAGAGGAGTAAGAAAAGAAAAGGATGAAAGCGTTGGTAGGAATGGAGTCTTGGTGCTGGAAGGCTTTTTCCTGGCTCAGCTATAATTTGTTACCTTGATTCATTAACCTTTGTTCTTCTCGTATTTTATTCTGAAATAATGGAATAAGTGACTTGGGTGCACTTTCAGTTAAATCAAAATTTCCAGCCAAGATAAATGCTCTTCATTTGGTGAAAGTGCATTTACATTTTCAATTTATAGAATCTTACTCTTTATGTGACTTGGGCTTTCTCTGTTGCTAATCTCTAAAGTCAAGGGCTGTTGGATTTGCATTTGCAGAGTGATGTTTTGTGTCCTGTGCTGGCATGCCCAGGGATATATTCCCCTACATGCTGAGCGAGGAGCTGTTTGCACTGCAGGAGTCTGCAGCGTGGGATGTAATATGCAAGCGAAGGAGTATCGGAGTCACTGTCTGGTCCACTCGCACAGTGGAGGAGAAAATGTTCAAGTTGGACGCCCTAATTCATCAAAACTTGATGAATTGCTTTGCCATAGGAAGGCCCTTAAGCACATACTTAAAGCAGTATTGCACAGTGCAAGTCTGAGACTGCAGAACTCCTTTGCTCTGGGTTTTCATGGGCAGAAACGAAATCAGCTCAATGCATTTGGCACAGCAAAAAGACCAGGTGATCTGGTGAGTCACTTCCACCAACCTGGCTTGAACTTCACTCCTGATGAAGGCTGCGTCAAAGCCCTGCGTACCTGTTCTTCCAGAAAATTCAAGATCAGAGTGCTTGGGAGTGACTAAAGGCACCTTCTGGCCAGTGGTCAAACTCGTGTTCGTTAAGTCCCTGTCCATCAAGTGAGGTGTCTCTCTAGAGAGGAATCACATGAACTTGAGTTCATCTTTCCTATCAGCTTATATATGCTAAGGGGAAGAAAATCGTTATGAAACACCCCTATCACCTGCAGAGAAGCCAGGTATGTAATGGGTAGACTAAGAGCACTCTTGGTTTCAGGTGGGGACTTCACAACATTGTAAAGACCCAAACTCAGTCCCATTGGCTTCACTGGCGCCCCAACTCACATCCCAGGTGTTGTGTGAGGACTGCCTTGTATGTGCAATGGTTTGGCTAGCACCACAACCCTGAGGCTCGTCCCGTCTCTCCAAAAAGTCAGAGCACAGAGGACTTGAGCTACTTCTACTTAGTTGTCCAAAGAAAGTATAAAGGAGCTGTGAACCACTTGGAAACCAGCACCAGATTTTTTTGGGCATTTTGAATAATTTTTGACCTTGCAAGAAGCAATAGCTGCCATATATGATCACATTAACAATCTACTTACGCATTACCTTGTTTTAGGGAGTAGGCAATAGCAGCTATTTAAGAAAGGACAAAAGACAAATGGTGTCTCATCCCAGAATAATGTAAGATGAAGGAAGGAAATGGAAATAATTGAGAAAGGACTGTTTTGTTGGAACAGACTGCTTAGCTCCTGCAAGGGGGCAGGATTAAAGAAAAAAATTTTTTTTTTTATTCCTTATTTCTATTAGTCTGTGAAAGTGTTTTTTTTGGTCTCAGATTCTTAACTAAAGACTGTGTAAATCCTGCTCTCAAACACATAGCTTGACGTGCACTGCTTGACCTCATGAACGCTCTGGAGAGGTGCTCCAGACAAGCTTTTGGTAGGAAATGCAGCGTGGGTTCCCAATGTTGGTGTGTAACTGGTGTTACTGGAGCAGCAGCAGGACCCAGGCAGAGCAAGTCTGAATGCAATTTTAATCTCCGTGGTGCAAGTACTCAGAGCAAGTCTGAATGCAATTTTAATCTCTGTGGTGCAAGTACTGATGTGTGCTCTGCTGCAAGTGCAGAGGAACTATTTAGAACTCTTTTCCCATATTGTACCATGGAAAGTGAGAGCTAGATGTGGGGCACTGCTGCTTTTCCCCAGTGATTCCAGATGTTTGCTGCTTCCTCTTGCCTAGATATCTTTGAGCTGTTGGGTAACATCTTATTGCCAGCCTTGCTAAGGATGCTCATGTAAGCAGAAGGGAAAGTTCTGCAGCTAAAAGCATCTCAATACTTTTGTATCAGCTATGAAATGAAAACCATGAGAATATGAAGAAAAAAAAAAAAAGATGTTTCTCTTGCAATGAAATGAAATCATCACAGCGCCAAGAAGCTAATCTATTGGGTTTTTTTTAATCATCTTTTCGGAGTTAATAAACGTCCTGTAGCGAAGCACTGATGTTATGCAACTTCATGTCTCCCTAAATCAGTTTCTTTTCCGCTTGTGTGCGCTTCTCCCGTGTCACGCCGTACCTACGGCATCTCAGTGATGCCTCGTTAGAGCTGCAGTGTAGCAGACTCCGTGCTGCTGCTGCACTCCTGCAACATCTGGCCTGCAAGTACTTTTTTATTTTTTTGTACTGAAATTGAGAAAAGCCTGGTCACACGCTCGTTATGTGTTACGCACAGTAAGAGTGTGCTGTGCTTGCAGCTGGGAAAGGAACAGAGGGTTTTCTTTGGCTAATTGTTTTAATATTCCCAGATAAGAGTTATTTCCAAGCCGGTGCCTGTGTTGCTAGGTGTTGGGCTTTTATCTCTGAAAATGCAGCAAAATTATTCAGTACTTTCTCTTCTTCCTGGAATTCTCCTCTCTCCCTGATGAAATTCAAGTTACTCTGTAAATCAAGAGGATTTAAATTATCGTGTGGCA